TATGATGCAGCCTTCTCGCTTGCCGAGAGAAAAGAGCGGAAACGAGCTGAAAGCGCGTCAAACCTTTCCGGCCTGACACAACCCTTCATCTGCAGCGAACAAGACTATAGTAGCGTCCGCTTCTTCAGCCTGGATTTCAGCTTGTAGTACTGAGGGCTAGCAGGTTCAGTGACTTGCTGGGTTTCGCCCTCCCACCGAGACAGAGTTCGTCAAGTTATCCCTTCCCTCAAAAGACCCTGGCCTTAGAGCACAGAGTTCAGATGAACTGTGTAAGCACATGAAGGTCTCGCAACGTGACACCTCTATGGTACGACAGCGCTGATAGTTCTTGGAAATGAGAGCTTTGATCAGACGCGTATAAAATGCCAAGTCTAACCATCCTACAGTATTACAACGAGTCAATGAGTGCCTCATATAGCAGCGGAAACCCTCACAATTGTTCTCAAGCGATTTGAAGGCACATTCAACGAGTACTTGAATATCGTTATCATTTTCACGGGCTACATGTAAGAAGGTTATTGGATAGTTCCAGGAGGGTGTGTTTTGTTCCCTTTCGTCTTCTTCATCCCTGCGCTCTCCTACCTCTTCGTGATCTGGTTTCTCGTTCGCGGACTCATTTCTTTGGTCACATGTTCGTCAAATAGACAAAATAAAGTAGTCACAAGAACGCTGAGTTATGTGCAAAAGTCAGACCCCAGACGAGCCTCGAACCCGCATATTCCGCTGCCCGGGCAAAAGGCGTTTCCATTACGCAACCGGTCCAATCTTGCCCACTCAGCCCGATTTCTTTTTGTGCGAATGCGAGTCCCGTCTGGGGTCTGACCTTTGCCCATAATTCAGATAGGGAATGACTTTTGCCCATAACTTCTGATAAATTTCCGAGCGCAGAGTTCAGAAGAGCTAGATTTAAAACGTGGACTGTACTTTTACTATACCCGATAAGTGTAAATGGTTCGATGAAAGGGGTCTGAAGCAGTTCAACTTCAAAACCTTATTTCTCCATGGAACAGCAGGGTCAAACTTTTGTACGATCTAGTTCTGCTTAGGTCGCCTGAGCCTGATTCCTTTCAAAAAACGAGATTGATGAACAGAAGAGATAATACTGAGCCAGACACCAACCAAGTTCTTTTTTCACCGATTACCGAACTTGGTATTAATTCCTTCTAAATTTGCCACATCCCGCTCTCCGTGGGGGAATTCATAGATCCCTCAGAGTGGGTGGACTCACGCGCGTTATTCTCTTGATAACGGCGAGTCGCTGGCTCGTCTTTAGCCGGGAAGTCGTGACGCATCTGTTTGCCAGACGCTGAAGATTTCCAGAGAGTTAATAAGCTCAACAGCATTAAGAACAGCGTATGGAGCCCCTTATCCAAATTGCAATGGATTTCACAACTTTACGTCCAACAATTACAACTTATTTACTAAAGTCGAGCGCTTTTCCAAGAGACTACAGGGCTATGAAATAACTTATCATAGGATACACCTGGAACGGTAAAAGGGTGGCTCCGAGAAGTTTGTGAAATTTTCTGATTTCATTCGCTGCAGAGCTATTAAAAAGCTTTCACGACACTCTCCCGTAAGAGATCAGGAAAATAGAAAATTGGGAAAGAAGTCCTGCAAAACGACCTCCTAAAAGGCGATTGGCTGCAGAAGAATAACGAGTTCTACAGTAGACAGTAACGGAAGAACACCTGGAACAAGCCCAAGTTGCGCACTTTTGATGGTTTTGCCGCAATTTTCGCATTGCACATGGAAAATTTATCTGCTCAAATTGAGCACGCTGAAAGGGATTTGCAAAAAATGAGTTAGTAGATCAAAGTCGATATCGGGAAAGCATTTTGAAGAATATTGCTATAGAGCACACTGCTACAACTTTGATATCCATTTCAAGGTTTATAATGCTCAGGGAAGAACGCAGGGCCCTGGAGACTTGTAGAAAGGAGTAGTGGAAGAAGGTAAGCGAAAACCAGATGGGTCTGAGCCCCTTTGGTGAGCCGAGGGGACCAACACATGACAGCCGACTATGTCGCAGCTTACGCCGAAGAACATCTCAGCAATGGAGTTGGGAACATTGCAAAACTCTACTGCATCAAAGAATTTGAAGAAAAACGGCTTCTCTGTCGATGAATCCCTTTTTAGGAAGCCTTCCACTTCCACTGGGAGTCGTAGTGGTTTTGAAAGTAAATTGGCCTTTGCAGTTGATTGCGTAGGACAGGGCAGATCTAGAAGTCGATGTTTTATCCTCCTGGACGAATAAAGCACTAGTTACCTTCCCCGGCAGACATGAAAGGCTTGGCTGACTGGAGCCGATCCGAGATCTGATCCCCACACCGCGGTCGTGGTAAGTTGCTCCCCGATCAGAGATCTGATCTCCAGACCGTGCACCCGGTAAGTGGCGCCTTCTGTCACTTTACTACTGCTCTGAGGAAATATTAATATTTTTGTGTTACTACACTATCTTTTTAGGCTCTGCTCCTACTAATGGTGTTTGAGGGAAGAAAGATAATACGAGTAAAAACGCCCCTCCAAAGATTGTTTCGATTTTTTTTCCGCTTTCTCCTGCGGGATGCTGCTAATCCAGCGTAAGCCGACTTTGTCTGAGCATGGACTCGACTAATAGGAAAAACAGTTCTGTCAGGGCACAAACATTCGGATTGAGGGATCACACAATTCCGAATCCATAAACACAGTGCTCATGAGAAAGAAGTGGATGAACCCTGTCATCATTTCTTGTTTACCCAAATTTTCCATAAATTGTTTACGGAGACGTGGTTTTTGTTTTCTTAATGATTTCATTTTTTAATTTCCTCCGTCTTGGAAGTCTGGAGCTTCCACTGCTCGCAAAAACACGCGAAAATGAGTTACTTTATCGGATCACAAATCATTCGGTCTGCTTCTGTTTTTCTTGGTTTTTCTTTAGTTTTCTTACCATTAGTTATTTCTCGTATGTTTTTATGGGGCGTTATATTTATAGTCATTTACACTGAATTCCCTAAGCAAACTAAGCCAGGCTTCAGGGAGAAATTCAAAGATG